TTTGAATTGGGCATGTCCGTGTGTGTGGTTGAATGTGTGGGGGTGAGGGTCTGAAGTGGGCTTATCCGTGCGTGAGTGGCTAATGTAGGCGTGTCCATGCATGAGGTGGGCGTGTCCGTGTGGCTGAGGGGCGGCGCGTGTGCGAGTTGTGAGTGTGGCTGAGGGGCGGCGCGTGTGCGATGTGGGCCTGTCCGTGTGAGCGTGGCTGAGGGGCGGCGCCTGTGTGAGGTGGGCATGTCCGTGTGAGTGTGGCTGAGGGGCGGCGCGTGTGCGAGGTGTGAGCGTGGCTGAGGGGCGGCGCGTGTGCGAGGTGTGAGTGTAGCTGAAGGGGCGCGTGCGCGAGGTGTCCGTGTGAGCGTGGCTGAGGGTCGGCGCGGGTGCGAGGTGGGCGTGGCCGTGCGTGGTCGCAGGGAGGCGGAGGGAGCGGGCGGGAGCAACTACCGGCACGAGATGCGCTCGGCGCTGTCCACCATCGCCGCCATCATCCGCGCCGTGGCGGACAAGCTGGAGCGGCACGAGGTGCGCGAGCGCCAGCTGGGCGACCAGCTGCGCCGCGGCCAGCAGGCGCTGGAGAAGCGCTCGCGCGCGCAGGAGGGGCAGGCGGCGGCGCAGGCCCAGCTGCTGCAGCGCGTCGACGAGCGCCTGCGCGCCCTCGAGCGCACCATCGCACAGGTACGCCCCACTCTCACTCCCTCTCACCCTCTTTCCCTCTCTCGCTCTCCGTGCCACCCCATTCTCACCCCTCCCTCTCGCCCTCTTACTCTCACCCCCCTCACGCTGGCGCACTCTCACTCCCGCTCTGTCAGTCACTCACCCGCCTCTCTCAATCTCATCCTCACTCACTCTCACTCTCTCACACCCTCCTCCTCTCACTGTGTACCCACTCTCTCACATCATTTCTCAGCACCCTCCCCATTTTTCTTCCTCCCCATTTCCATTCTCTCTCACCTACTTTCATCCTCTTTTCCTCTCACTCTTTCCCCTTCCTCACGCCACTCTCACCCCGCTCTTACTCTCACTCTCAGTCACCCCATCCCACGGTTTCACCCGTCTTTCACTTCATCTTCTCATTCTACATTTTACCTCACTCTCACCCCCTTTTACTCTCCCTCATCTTTTCAGTTTTTCTCATCCCATCTGACTGTCTTGTCACTCTCACTATTGCTCACCTATCTCATTCATTTTCCCTCACCTCTCTAACACCTCACTCTCATTCTCAACCACACTCTCACTCCCGCAGCTCTCACTCCATATTCTCCCTCAACCCCTATCACTCTCTTCCCCTCTCATCACTCCCCCACACAGCTTTTATTTATTGCACTTCAAAAACTGTTTAAAACATTCTGAGACATATAATGCAGAGAAGTGTATTCTGTGCATGTTTTCTGAAATTCTATAATCCCTACCCTAATCAACATACAAGTTAAATTCTGATTACAGATGATAATGACTGTTTTAGGTAAGAATTGATAAGAAAATATTCGTTCCAATGGAATAAAAACTATTTCCAAAAGCAAATCAGTTACAGATTTGATATATTATTTCTCATTTTGTCCGAGAATAACTGTATTCCCGTAACTTTGAATAACTATATTCCCCGCAGAATGACGGAAGTCGTGCTCAGATAGTGAAGTCATATTTATGCCCAGAAAGAAAACAAGGGGCCATTTTTTAATAATAGTTAAGCTTTGTGTTCTAAGTTGCAAATAAATGTTGTAAGTTTACAACATATTTTGGGAGTGTATCAAAATGCAATTCAAAGTTGATGGTGTAATAAAAGATGCAGATGCACATGCCATGGCGTTTCAAGTCGAAACTACATTTTGCAAGATGCAAATATGTGTACATTAAAGATAATGTAAATGAACTAGTTTGCTAGTTTGTTGCAAGTTGAAAATGCATGTTGCAAGGAAAATAACAAGTATGACTAAATATTGCAATTATGTGTCGCCAGATGCAATCCAAATATGCAACTGTGTTGAAAGTCCCGAAGAAATGTGTGGCATTTTGCAATTACATGTTGCAAGTGGAAACTGCATATTTTTTAAATTATTTATTTATTTTATTTATTTATTTACGTCAAAAACAGTTAAAAACTGTGTATGACGTGCTATGAGGAGAAGTTAATTTAAAGTTACATTTACAAGTTGAAAACAAATGTTTCAATATGTATTGTTAACTACATCCAAATGTTAACTACATCCAAATGTTGCAAATACGCGTTTCAAGTTGAAAAACATGTTAAGGCAAATGATCTTTGCGGCCCGGGTGACGACGCGATGTTGTTGCAAGAACCTGACGCCAGTCGCAAACACATATTAGCTGAATGGGTTGTCAGCGGCAAATACCTGATGCCAGTATGTGTTGCCCGTGGCAACTACATGTTGCCGGTGCTTGTTGCCAGTCGCAACCACATATTAACACTATATGTTATGAGACGCAAACACATGTTTTCAGAATGTGTTGGCACTCGTAACCACATGTAGCAAGTACCTGTTGACAGTCGCAACCGCATGTTGGCTGAATGGGTTGCCACTGGCAAATACCCGATGCCAGTTTGTTTTTGCTTGTTTCAACTACATGTTGCCAGTTCGTGTTGCCCACCGCAACCACATGTAGCAAGTACCTGTCGCCAGTCGCAACCACATGCTGGCTGTATGAGTTGACAGTGGCAAATACCCGACGGCAGTATGTGTTTGCATATTTCAACTACATGTTGCCAGTACGTGTTGCCACCGCAACCACATGTAGCAAGTACCAGTTGCCAGTCGCAAGCACATGCTGGCTTCAAGGGTTGTCAATGGAAAATACCCGATGCCAGCATGTGTTTGCATGTTTCATATACATGTTGCCAGTCGCACGCACATGTTGCCAGTTCGTGTTGCCAGTCGCACGGACCTGTTGCCAGTGTGTATGTCAAGCAAAGGGCGCGTGCGCGTGCGGTGTGCGCAGAACCAGGCGAGCGCGGAGGAGCGGCTGGAGGCGCTGGCGGCGGGGCAGGAGGCGGCGGCGGGGCAGCTGCGCGAGTGCCAGCT